GGGCGAACGGGCGGGCGGGCGAGAGAGCTGCCCGGCCGGCGGGGTCCGCAGCGCGCCCCGCGTCCCATGGATATAGCAACAGGTCCCGAGTCGTTGGAGAGGTGCTTCCCTCGGGGGCAGACGGACTGCGCCAAGATGTTGGACGGTATCAAGATGGAGGAACATGCCTTGCGCCCCGGGCCCGCCACCCTGGGGGTACTTCTGGGTGAGTGCTGGGTCGGGACGCCCGACTGGTGAGGCACAGGGGTATAGGGCCTTCGTCCCGCGGTGGACACCGGCGTACCGGCCAACTGATGATGGGTTTGCAGGACTTGGGGAGGGGGCAGGACTTCTGAATGGTCACCGGAGGCAACAAGCACACCTAGACAGGCTCCCTGAGGGGACAGCGTTCAGGGACATCACCCAGGCAGAGAAAGGACAGAACAGCCTCCGCTGCCACCCACGCCATCCTCTGCCTGCCTGGGTTCTAGAGCTGCTATCGGGGCGGGGCTGGGGGAGGAGGCGGATGGCAGAGATGATGGAGGACCAAGTTGTCACCTTGGCGAGCCTAGGAGAGGGACCGGATTACCTGGATGAGGGCAACTTCTAGAAGAAAAATGTCCCCTGGTCCATCCAAACCACAAGGTTTGGGGAGTTTAGGGATGGCAGAGCAGGAGCGAAATCGTGGGGTGTGTCAGCCAGCGGGTGCCCCAGCCTCACCTGGCAGGTCTGGGTCCTAGCCCTCCACTCGGCGCGGTGCCCCTTCTCTTTGGTAGTAAACACACCAAGCGCTGAATCTCCAGAGAAGGAGACAGCGCAGCGCTGAGCCAAGGCTCCAGGCCCTCGGCCTCCCTGCGCCAGAGCTTACCGACAGGGATAGTACTGTCAGGGGCTGCCTGGTCTCTGGCGCGGCAGGCGGGGGGCACCTCGGGCGATAGGTGCGGCTTCCGAGACCGAGGTTCTCAGCCCCAAGTGTGGGCACCTCGCAATCAGTATGCCAGGGCTGGACCAGGCGGCGCTGACGGCCCGGCTCTCGCCCTCTGCGCTGCAGGCTCTGACTGCCCGCATCCCGCCGTCTGCGAGGGCTGCCAGCGGCCCATCTCCGACCGCTTCCTGATGCGAGTCAACGAGTCGTCCTGGCACGAGGAGTGTTTGCAGTGCGCGGCGTGTCAGCAAGCCCTCACCACCAGCTGCTACTTCCGGGATCGGAAACTGTACTGCAAACAAGACTACCAACAGTAAGCGCCTCTCGTCCTCCTCTTTTTTCCCCCCCGCCGGGGACCGGCACTCCAGCCTGGCTGGTAACCTGCCGGGAAGGGCCCGCTCCACCTTGCGGTGGCTGACTCGGCGCTCCACTGGGCCTGGTAGCTCCGAGGGCTCAGCGACAGTGGTGGGGTGGCTCCTAGGTGCCATCTGTTGTCGGAAACCTAGCGCTGAGTGGCTGCATTGGGGGTACAAGACAAAGCCCTGGACAGACTGGTGTCCTGATGCTTGAGTCCAGGGAGGGGGCTTGGCCCCACTGAGGCTGAAGTGGGGACCAAGAATTGATTTTCCAAGAAAGGCATTGCTTTAAAGAGCCAACTGTCTGTGTGCTTCGGCAGCCCGTGTTCGGCTAGGTTTCCTAAAGCGGAGAGGTGGGTGCCGAACACTGAAAGCAGAAAGTACCCCAAGTTGGGTCCGGGCTGCACTTTCAGTCCCTAGTAATGAGAAATGGGTGTCCATCTTCCTAAACCGTTCCATGCGGGAATTTTGCCTGTACAATTGTTCTTGGCTGAAGAAGCAGTCTAGGAAGAGAAATTCAAGAGCTGCAATCTGCGATCTTGGGAACCGGGGTTGGGGTGGCGGACTAACCCAGTGAGCCCTCCCCAGGAGGCCTGCTTTCTCACAGTGTGTTGGAGAAGGGTGATCCACTGTGCCCTGAAACCTCAGAGTTGAGGCTAGTGATGTGGGTTGAGCCCTACCTGCTGATTTCTGTGTGAAGCAGGCACTGTGAATTTGTATGGCCACAGGCTGGGGACACTGGAAAGTGCAATCGTCAGGGAAGCTCTGAGACATCTCAGTGGAAAGAAGAGAATGGGGATCCCCGGAATGGAGTTTCAGAGACAAATGAGTGCCTGTTAGAACTTCTGAGCGGTGCCCAGAGACCATCTTAGATGGGGCTACAGGATGGGTAGGCTGCCTGAGTGGTTGGGGCTCAGAGTGGGTTCTGTGTGCCCAAATGTCTGAGGAAAAGGCAGGGAGGGTCGCTTGTATCAGCTGCAGCCCACTGGCTCTGCCCAACGATTGTCACCAAACCTGGTGACTAGTGAAAAGAAGGGCAGCCAGACTGCTTTTCTGAGGCCTGGAAAACTGCAGGCCAGAGACCCGGAGAGGGCCTCGGGTTCTATTCCAGCGGCTGTGGTAGTCTCCCTGGAGCTGGCGAACTGGCAGGAGGATGGTTTTTACAACTTGCTTTTCCTGGGGGCTGGAGATTCTATGGGCAGGAACTAGGGTCCTAAAATGTGATCGAGGCCTCTTCCCAGATTTAGGCACATAGTTATGGTCCATGCTGTGCCTGTGCCCTGGAACTCTACTTCCTGGACAAGAAAAGGCAACTGGTCTGTCAGTTCACCCATGGCTAGGCATAGAGCAGCACAAATAAAATGAGGGTAGGAAAGGTTGGGGACTTTGGGATGACTCAGACAGCCCATCCACTGGAGGTACTTCTTAGCCTTTCTCTGCCTCCTGGACCTGGGCTGGTTCGGCCCAGGCAGTACCACTTACCGCCCAGCTTAGCCACTGAGCTCAGCAACTCAACACGTGGGCCTTCTAAGAGGCCTGGGAAACTAAAAATGGGCCTCTGAAGCATTTGTGTGGTTAAAAAAAATTTTTTTTCAACAATTAGAGTTTGCAACCTCATGTACATCTGGGGCTTCTGTAAAAGAAAGCTAGGGTGCCTCCGGTCCTCCAGCCTCAGAGCCACAAAGTCACAATTGGATATGGGTCTTGCCTTAGAGTTGAGTGACTAAGCCCCCTCACTTTACAAAACAATTAAACATTTGCATGTATTTTGTCCCACTGATATTTGTTTTTGAAAGAAAAGAAAAACATCACCTAAGAGCTTTCTTTGGTGCTTAGGTGCGGTCCTGGTCCCGAGTTTTGGGAATGTGGTCGCCTGGTGAATCTCATCTTGGGTCCCACAGTTTGGAGTCAGGGTCCAGGGAGATTGAAACCTGGGGAAGGGAGGAGGTGGCTTTATTCTCTCCTTTACCTTCTCCTCCTCCTCCTCCTCCTCCTCCTCCTCCTCCATTCCCTCTTTCTACAAATAATGACAATTAAGTATCAGCACTAGACGGGCCTCGGAGTGTGCTGGGGCGGGGTCCTGGTTTATCTAGCCGATCTTGGGGACAAATCCCCAGGGTCTCCTGGCAGCATTTTTCAGGGAGCAGATCAGCCAGGCAGGCAAGAGCGCAAAGGGAAACAATGTTCTTTACACAATAAAAAAAAAAATTTATTCACGATTTTTTTTTCCTTTGAGGATCGCACATGCATATTTATCTCATCTGTGCGCAAATGCTTTTCAGACGGGGATCCCGGCAAATGGGCTCAGAAGCGTGCCGTCTTGATTTTGTTGAGTCTTTTTATAACACCCCCACCCAAGTTTTGTGAAAACCCGCTCCTCACCCTGCGGGGAGGTGCAGAGTCCTCCTTCCTAAGACGTTGCCATTTTTAGTGCCTTCTTTCGATTTGTTCTCAACGATCCCGGGCACCCAGAAGCGCAAAGTTGTTTTACGCACCACGGGGGTGATTAATTGGCTTTTAGGAGCATTTGATAAAATCCATTCGCTGTCCTAGCATAGAGCAACGGCTGCGGGCTGGGGAGGTGGGTTATTTTTTTTTTTTAACTTGCAACTGGAAAAGTCTCCTTTTTCTCCCCTCGTGTGCATTTGGTGGAGTCCTTTAAGGAAGAAAACATAAATTTAAAAAAACAAAAAACAAAACTAGGGTTTCGGCCCCGTTTCCGTTAGAAAACCAAGTAGAAACCACGAGCAAGCGCGGCCTCCGCAAAATCGCCAACCCTACCCGGCGTCTGCCACAGGAGAAACAAAAAAATGACAACCTCTGTCCCCAATATATGTTGTTTTTCTTGGCGGTTTGGTCAAACCGAATTATGTAACTCCCTTTTCTTGCCGTCTGTCGCTCACTCGCCGGGGATCGCTCGTCTGGAAAGGGTTTCTGACCTAAGGAGGTGGCGAATTCCTGGAGGAGGCTCCGGAAGGGGGGAGGGTCGGTGGGAGAGTCCAAAAATCTGTCACAAAATGGAGTCTAAGGGCTTGTACAGGCTCCCAGGTCTGGGGACCTGAGCGTCCTCTGTGCGCCTTTGTGTGTGCGGGATGCCGAGCTCCGGCCGACCGCGCACTACCACCCGCTCGTGCGAGACCGGCCCTGGGCACACAAGCTGTGGCTGCTCCAACCTCCCGGCTCCGCTGAGCCCACCCGGGGATGCCCTTGGGCTAGCCTACCCAGGTAGGATTTCCCCTCAGCAGCAGAAGGGGGCATTCAGGCTATAACTGACTTTCACAAAAAGTCTTCTGAGTCCTGGAGTGGTTGTTAAGACATTTCCCTAGCTGGTTGCTAGTTGCAAGTGGTCCAGCCGGGCACTTCCCAGCACATTTCCTTCCTTAGAAGGGTTTACTGGGAAAGGCCTTCCTAAACTGGGAAGCTCACCTCCACTCTGAGCTGGGACGTTCCCTGCTGGAGTGGCACCTGGGCCTTTTTTGCTCCTGCATTTCCCAACTTGGAAGCCCCACCACCAAGCCGTTCTAGGGTGCCATTTGACTGCAACACCAGCCTGCAAGTTGCACCCTCTGCATGGGACTAATTTAGGTTTACACACTCCTGCCCTGGGCCTAGGATAGAGGGTCTGTCCAGAAACCAAACTACTTAGGAAAAGAAGCCAAGACTTTGCTTTACAAAGAGGCCTGGGTGCTCTCTCAAAGCCCAAGAATTGAAGGGCTCCCTCTGCCAGCGCCAGTCCGGGGATCCCTGGTCCTTTGGAGGAAGCCTGTATATTTAACCCCAGCCTCTGCGCTGTGGGCTGGAGGTGAGCGAAAGCTTTCCTGCCGCGCAGGCATCTGCAGCTGAACGAAGGCATTATTCTCTGCCTCTGCTGGCTCACCTTCTATTCCCAAGGCTCCGGCTGCGGTGGCCTTATTTGTTTGCCGGATTTTTCTCAAGTGGGGGAAGCAGCTGTGAGGATCTACTCTCTAGTAGATGATTGGTGAGTCCAGGCTCCCAACAACCGCTGTGCCAGGCTTAATGACCTACAGCCCTAGCACCTACCTGATCCTGTGCTGTACAAAGGGGACCTGCCTACCTGGGGAAAGTATTCTTATAGACTCTAGATTAGGTGCCCAAAGGATCTGGTGTCTTTGCTTGGCATGTTATTACACTTTGAAAATTATTGCAGTTCTTACATCGCTGGGGCAGAGAATGCTTTGTTTCTAAAGACACTCTCCAGGCTGCAGACAGGTTTCCACACCTAAACCAGACTGGCCTCGAGCCTCTCTGGGCACCAAGGATGAAGGGAAACCTTTCTCCTTTGCTTGGGTGGACACTGTGAAGGTCCCTCTACCATGTAAAGAGCTTTAGACTCAGAGCCAGGTTAGCCTTCCCAACCTCAGCACTCAGCTAAGTGTAGACCCATCCTAGAGCCCTTGTGTCTCCTGAACATAACAGCAGCACCTTGCAGGGTGGCTCTGAGGATTCCAAGGGGCACCTGGTGGAGCTTCAGCAAATGTGTTGTTCTGAAGGCATTCTTTATCCTCTCCCAGAGTGCTGGAGAAACTTCTGGTTGCAGGAATAGGTGCAGATACTTGGGCTGGGTTGTCTCAGAGAAGCAATATTTCCAGTGGGGAATACTGAGCATCTGAGGGGGGGGGCTGCATATCACTTGGAAAAGCACACTCAATAATACCATTTCCTATTTGAAGAACTGTTCTTGCTTATTGTCTTTGTAATTCAAATGGCAGAGAAGAAACTCAACCTATATTTCTAGGTCTGATCTAGAAGGGGAGGGAATTATGAGAAAGTGATCCAGGGATCTGTGATTTCTCAGGAATAAGACAGGCTTAAAAGTGGAGAACATTCCAGAAGGTTGGAAGGAACTTCTAGCCCAGGTTCTGTGGCCTTGCCATGTTACTGTCTGTGATGGGCTAGCATAACTTCCCAGGGAGCCTTCTGGGTCCTGTGGCTATGG